AGTATTTTGTACACAACAACAGTAATGAGTTTAGGCTGCGTTTATTAATGAAATGCAGTGAATTCTTAGCCTAAGTTTGCCTGATGATGAGAAATAATACGTTTCGTTTATTACTAAAACTGAAATATTTGTAAGCACGTGTTTTTTAACTGAAGAAAATGAAGAGTGATACATTATGTGCACATGGGCTAAATGGTCAGGCCATTAACCCCACCCACCACTCAGACACACAACACCTTTACAAGGACTTTGTCAAGCTCTTTGGAAATGATAACAGGATTGACTCTCTCTTTTAATAATACCTATAATTGAAAGTGCGGAGCGTGTTTAGCAACATTACCTCATTAAGCTTGGACCATCTGATCCTCAGCCCAACACGATAACCAATCAGGCAAGCCCAATTTCAAATGGAGATGTGTTCTCCTGAAAGCACTTGTTGTCATGTTGCCAGTAGTAACAAGTAAAAGTGACAGGTTAGATACACACAATAAAATATAAAGATGGCGTCAAAGTCAATGAGGGAGATGATACACTATTACATATCATCTATGTAACAAGCGTGAAAAGCTTTAGTCAGTAACAAATTGTTAAGACTGAATAGTAACTCGCTGGATAAGAAAGATTCAACGATGCACTATTACGTTAGCGATTTCGATATTTGACGGTTTAAACAACGGTATTGTGATGTAGAAGTTTAAATTATCGTTGTAATTTTGTTATTAATAAGCAATAACCATATAAACCACGATAATTAAAACAGCTTCCTTGAATTTTACTTGATAATTTACTTATTCACTTTAGTGAAAACAGTTTTAGGGTTTATACTTCTTCATTATCATAGCCATTAAATGTGAGACTCTATGTATTTCAGTGGGTTTTATGTATTGTATAAGATATAATCGGTTAAGAAGTATATCGATAATTATATATACGTATGTGTTCGTTTAAGTATTATACTTGTGTAATAGGTACACCTGATATTGCATAAGACTGCTAGCATGTCTAATTGTAACCATGGGCTGCGACACATTATAGATAGTGACACAGTACGGACAGTAACACATTATAATATATAATCACCGAAACCTTTTTGGCAGGTATACAGTTTATACTATAGTGATAGACAGATGGATAGATAGAAATTGAAATCCCAACAAGAGAACGAATCAAGAAAAACTGAGTTGTAATTACAAACATATCGAAAAAAATATTTGAATGGATAAACTTACGACGTTCCTATTTCTCACAATTCAGTGTAATTTTACCAGTTACATAAACGTTTATAAGTTCAGCATACGTAAAGGACGCAAGTATCTATGTTTAAAGTCCTGAGCTCTCCCTGACTGCTACGTGATACGGCTCGTACAGTTATCTTATCAATCTATATTTTATACGTGACAAAAACTCAATACGTAATATTCAATAAGAAATAACACGACGAATGAATGGTCCTACCAAACTTACTATGTAATAAATCAGGTCGGCGCTGCTCAGTGGTTCGCGTTTTGGACTCGTAATCGGATGGTTGGATATTCGAGGCTAGCTCGCGACATTCTGTTATATCCCTGAGCAAGAGGCTTTACCCATGGGCAACATCTATTAGCTCGAGGGTAGCCTGCGATAGACTGGCATTCCGTCCAGGGTAAATGTGTCGCCATTCTCATCCGCTTGTGGCAATAAAGTCAGGGTTCAGTATCGGTTTCTAAGTGCCGTCTCGGCAAAGGAGGGATTTTTTTACTTTTGATGTAATATGTCAGTAAGAAATAGCTTGAGAAACGATTCGATTTTCTTTTGTTTGTTTTCGGATATTCAAGCAAAGCTACTCAATGGCTATCTGCATTAGCCGTTCCTAGTTTTGAAGTGATATAATAGAAGAAAGGTAGCTAGTCAACAACAACAATCTCCAGTTCTTGGGCTATTATTGACTGAGCGAACAGTGAGATTTTTACAGTCACACTTATAATACATTTACGATCCCAAAGCGCGGAGCGTGATTTTTATTTTTATTCTTTTGCGGTAATGGGACGCGAACATTGGACTCGGATATCTATAGCCCGACACGTTAACCATTGGGCTATACTCGGCCCGAAACGACTAGAACTCGCTATGTAATAATCAATAAGAACCAGCATGAGAAATTATCCATTACAACTTACTACATGATACATCAGTAAGAGATGATATAGAAATGACTTGATTTTGCTAGTAGCCCCCTGGTGGTTCAACAGTAAATCTGAAGGCATATAACATTAGAATATCCGTGGTAAGCATAACACAAATAGCCCATTATGTAGCTATATATAGTTATTAAAAGAAATAAACTGAGAAATTTAAACTTATTACGTAATAAGAAATAAACAGTGTGTTTCTTTCAGAATTTTCACGCTAAGCTAAACAAAGGACTATCTGCGCATATCCGTCCCTGATTTTGAGCTGATAGACTAAAGAAAGGGAAACTAGTCAAAATACCCACCGCCAACTTTTGGACTACTCTTGTCTGACTCGAATTGTAAAATTTTATTGTCACTCTCACAGTGTACCCACAGCACCCAAAATTCGCACGTTTTTGCATTAACGGAATGCGAACCTTGAACCCTCGGATTCACATTCTGATTACGCTACAACATACTGTGAAGAAGTATTATTTGGTTCTCGCAGCGTTGCATCTTAACGGAAGTATTTCCAAAGAAGCAAACAAGAAGAATTACTCAATTACTGTTAATCTTTCTACATTCAGTCCCGGACAAACATTGAGGATAACCACATAAGCCTCATTATTAACAACCACTTAAACATTAGTAACCACTTAAACGTTACCAAGAGCGGTAATGTGGTTAATCGTGGCTTATAACAAAAGAAAAAGTAAAACAACAGTGAAATTTGATTAGTAAGCGTAATAAGAGTGAGTTGTACAAAACCATTAAGATACACAGCCGGCATAAAAAGTTGAAACGTAAACATTTGATGGGATATCGTGGAAATCAAAACCCTAGGCTACTTCAAACAAATAGAAGACAGTATGTGCGTGATAAGTATACAAAAATAATGATGGTGTTTAGCTCAAAAGCTGTTTGCAGACAAATGCAATGAGCCTAATACGGTTTTCCAGTGTAATAATCCAAAATACGTTTTACGAATTAAATTCTGCAGAACCTTCCGTGTTTTATATGATGGTTGTATTTGTTTTTCACTCTCTCTCTGTCTAATAACCCAAAAATATAACCTTTCATTGCAGTATTAACCCTTCATTGCAGTATCGTAGAAATCCATTCTTTCTTTTTTTTAATGATATTATGGGCACAAAACTCGCAAAAATTAATTATTCAGGTAATCACAGAGTCCGACGAACTATAAATATATACAGAAATATTTCCTCATTTTGCTTGTCATGATTCATCCCCTTAGTTCAATTATAAATATATATTCATAGTTAAATATAGTTCTAGATGTTAAATTCACTTTACTCACTTTTAAACGCAGGTTGAAAGGGAGAGAATAAACTATTATGACCATCCTATTTAATGGTGTTATAAATATTCTGTTATAAATATTTTCATTCAATAACATTTTGTTATAAACATAATATTTCATAATATTCTATCAGAAATATAACAGTGCGAATATATTTTAGATTTCTACAATCTTCAGACAACTTAGAGTAAATTTTATAGTTTAATTTCAATGTTGTTATTTGTTTCTTTCAGCGCAAAGTTGCAATAGCCTATCGCCGTTGCTGCAGCGAGGATCAAACTCCGAACTATGCAGAACGGAAGACATGATCCATTACTGTAAGTAAATTTATTATAATTATTATTAATTTAAAGATTTCAATTTTTAATTTTAGTTAGTATCTTGAAAGAGACAAATATTTAAATTTAAAAAAAGATAATTTTAGAAATTGTAGCCATCAGTATGCACTTTGTTAACACTAGTGTTCATTTGCATAAACGTACATGTATTTGTGAACACTACAGCTGCAGAAAGTGGAAGAACATGTACTTGTGAACAAAATCAGCCACCAGCATAGAGCACATCCACTTATCGATAATTAAAGCCACCAACATGAAAATACTTGTGTTTACCAATACTACCAGCCACGAGGAAGGAACTACATTTATAGTTTAACAACATCAGCTCCTAGCATGGAAGCACATGTACTTGTCAACGCTACAAGCCATCAGCATGGAGATGCATGCACCTGTTAACACTATTAACCACCAGTATGAAGATACATGCAGCTGTTAACACTTCCAAGCACAAGCATGAAGAATAAGAAGTGAAGTACAGATACTGGCCTTGGCCAGTATCTGTACTTCACTTCTTATCCTTCATGCTTGTGCTTGGTAGTGTTCACTACCAAGCACAAGCATGAAGGATAAGAAGTGAAGTACAGATACTGGCCAACACTATCAAGCACAAGCATGAAAGATAAGAAGTGAAGTACAGGTACTGGTCAACACTACCAAGCACTAGCATGAAGGATAAGAAGTGAAGTACACGTACTGGTTAACACTACCAAGCACAAGCATGAAGGATAAGAAGTGAAGTACACGCACTGGTTAACACTACCAAGCACAAGCATGAAGGATAAGAAGTGAAGAACAGGTACTTGTCAACACTACCAAATAAGTTTAATTTTTGACACAACCAACTAGCAATAGGGAGGAAATGCATCAGTAACCTAATTGTCAAAACTAGAAACCACCAACATTAGCACTTTGTCAACACTTCCATCCGGCAGCATAAGATCCATGTTCTTGTTAATGCTACTTGTCAAAATCATGGAGGCACCTGTAACTGCAACACTATTCGTCTCCAACATGAAATGTATCTATCAAACTTCTACCGCTGTAGTCACCTAATCATATGTAATATCGGTGTGTTCTTACTTATTTTCTAATTTCTACACACGAAAGATATTTCTTAACCATTTCTATTTGTGCTTTCAGTAAGCTACCAAAGAAACAATGAAATAGATATGTCAAAACGCTGACTCTTACTTTCTTCTGGAATCTTGCTTTTCAGCTGTACCGTGGTTGTTCCTCTTCCAGATCCTTGTTGCGAAAATGATGTTGACCGACTCGTTTCTTACAAGAAAAGAAAGAAAGATTTCATAAGGCCTGTGTTGAAGTAAATTTGTTTATTACGCACTCAACTTTTGAAGTTTTATTTATTTTATACTGTTACATGAAATAAATACAGGTAATAAAAATGAAAAAATTACCACAAATTTTGGCGATAATTATTAAAGTGAAAACGTTCAAGGATGTGTTCTTCTCGTGTGTTTTTTTAGATTATCACACATTATGCCAAGGAACTGTTTCCATGTTTAAAGGAAACAACTACATACTCAAGTTTTATAGCGCCATCTACCCATTTTTAACGATACTAATATTTAACATAGCAATAGGTTTTACTGCCATCTATAACCTTAAAATAATACTACATTAAATTATCTATTTAAATATAAGTCACATTCACTCAAATAATTTTCTAGTTTAAATACAAACTAAGTCTGAGAACTTAGCTTAGCAAGATGATTAATCATTATAAATATTTTTGAGTTTATATATTTTAAGCCTAGCTGACAGGCACATTGGATAATAATTAAAATTTAACAATATTTGGTCGTGACACGCTAACACTTAGTTTTGTATTTTAAGTACTGCATTATGATAATAAAATATAGAAAAAATTAAAAGAAAATTGTTATGAATAGAAATATATCTTAAAATAAGCAAACTAATTATTGTACGTTAAGTGATTTATTAATGCATGGTTGAGGATTAGTTTTGTCACACAATTTTGAATAAATTGTCAACTTTAAATTCATAATATTCTATTAACAAGAAAGGTCAAGACATATGTCTAATTTAGATATTATTTGGACATGTTTCTGACAGATGCACTTCATCAGTCGAAATAATATATTATTCTACCTGTCTAATAAACTAATATCTTTCTTTGGGAGTTTTACATATGTAAAAATTTAGGGTGATTTATTTCTACTTTAAGGTTATTTTGTATCTACATATTAAAGGTGACTGCCTTCTTACAACTGGCTGCAGACGGCGAAAGGCAGCTAGAGTTAAGACGTTATGGGTTCAAGCACTCAACTCCTAACCCTTAACTGAGTCCCCATAGCTGCGGATAGTTTGACATCGGCGTCTGATAGATAGAATATCCACAACGTGTTTGGGTACTATGACCATAGAAATTTTCCGATATGAGCTAATGATAATGACAAGGACTGGTAACGAAAAAAGAAATTGGTTTTTTTTTGAGTCTCATTGTGAACGTTTTTGATTTGTGTTAATTTCATTACTGTTATATACTATAGTGCTCACTTGATTGCCTATTTACAATTAATGCGTCTTATAGTATTAAAATTATTTATTTCTACACCATGGTCTATCTGTGCTCTGCCCACCACGAGTATCGAAACCCAATTTATAGCGTTGTAAGTCCGCAGACATACCGCTGTGCTACTGGGGGGGGGGACAATATCTTTGCCCTATAATATAAGAAGGTGTAACGAGAGTATTAAAAGAAAGGATAATTAGAAATTAAATGGGGAAGTGCCGCAATTGTTTAAATGAGAAAACGTAATATTTTACTATTTATTACTCTGTAATAAAACGTGGGCTAAACTAAGTAAAGTAAAGTTGCGCGGTCTCTGTGGTTCTATCAACTACAACAAACAAAATTCATGTGTTTAAACCTGGAATGCAGGTTTTTGATAAATTTTCTAATGAAGAAAAGTTATTGCTCCCAAAATTTACCTCCTTTGAACGATACATTAATCGGTTTCTAGCTACACAGATATTTACAGCTAATTGTATATCGAGCAATATGACGTCAAGCAATTTTATTCTAGTTTATAACCTACATAAGAAACTGAATTATTCGAGTTATTTGAGACTTTTAGGAATGTGCTCAAGTTGTGCTGCCTTTAAAATATAAACCAAATGCATATATAAATCTTTGTGCTTAACTTAAAAACGAACGAGCAAAGATATTAGCATTGTCGTTGGTTTCGTCACGCGTAAACTTACAGCTGTCCCATCAGGGTTGAAATTTACATCACCGAGCATTCGTTCATTGCTGTGAAAACGCCTAGATTTTTTGTTACTCGCAAAAATATATATATTTAAATCTAGAGCAAAGTAACAAAAGAATTTCCGGAAATTACTATAAATAAATAAAAACAACAACAACAAAACATTGCAACATTTTAGTGTTTCTAATTTATTATTGGCAAGTAAGTTCGTCTGGTAATTTAAGTTCTTCAAGAATACACATTATAAATAAAAATAGGAATATTGATAAATAATAATAATTCAGTGATACACATGAAAATAAAATTAGTATATCTTTCAAGTATTTTTTACTTGATAGTAGTTAATTATGTTTCATATTATAAAACACAATTGTTTGTTTGTTGTTAAGCACAGAGCTATACGATGGACTATCTGGGTTCTGCCCACCGAGAGTATCGAAATCCCATTTTTAAAGTTACAAGCCCACAAATTTAACTTTGAGCCACCGAGGAGGGAATACTTGTGAACAACAAAACTAGCTAGTAATAGGATCATAAGTTGTCGCTTTGTAATTTTAATTGTGAAAAGAAAATATTTCGGAATAAAAAAAAAATCTAATTTTCTCTGCAATAACAACATTAAAGCACATCTATAATATATGAATATGATATATGTGGAATAAAATGTCACTAACCTCCTCAGTGTAAATGTAACTTTTCGAAATTCATTTTTGCTTTAAAGGCTTTATTTCATATTTAATATGTTCAGTAATTGAATAATTCAAAGATTAAAGCAAAATATTATATGCTTTGATATTAATTTTAAATAGTTTTACAAGTATTTGAATATTCGTGGTACAAATCCGTTAAATCTGATAAAATAAATGTAAACTTGATTTAGACGGACATATAGTTTCTATAGGATTTTAATTTTTCATTAATTGTTGTTAGACTGATCGTCAGATGGCAGCACGCAAAATTTCCATCATTGACTGACTATAAAGTAGCTGTACAGAGTTTTCCAAAACTAAGTTGAAATTGTAACATTAAGGAATGTAACGTTGTTTTTGTTTCTTTATATAATTTTTAGATAATAACGCTAAGCGTTGATGAAGGTATAGAGGGGAAGTCGACTGAATGTTATCAGTACTTTATTTACTTTGAGAGCGAACATTTTGAGAATATTCTATAAAACGTGTAAAGACATTCAGCTTATGGTAATCGCGTTTTGGAACATCTTGTACGCATTTCAGCTTGTTACATAGAGTTGATTCTTCCTCGTGGTTAATATTCCCTACCAATAAAGATAAAAAATAAATAAATATTTAATTTCAATAAATATTGTGTATCAATCACATAATTTAGGAAGTGTACAAAGAAAAAACCGATAAAGGTGTTTTAGGTTTCAGTTACGAATCAAAATCAGCTATCACAAAACAGGTGCTCCTAAAAAAAACGACAAAAATTCAGTAATCACATAACACCCAATTCAAACGAAACCCTGATAATATAATTATACATTACTCTATTAGTAATAGTGAAGAAACCATGGTGACAGAAATTAAGTTTGTTCGTGATTGTTTGTTTGTTTGTATTAGCAAGAAACTATGCAATGGGCTATATGCGCTCTGTCCACCGCGGGCAATCGAATTTTAGGATTTAGTTTTCTAATCTTATGTTAATCCACTGGGGAAATTTGCTCGTGAAAACATTACGATTCTTTCAACCAAACATTTCAGTTGTTTTCCGTTCAGAAACTTTTGACGTAAGACGAAGTTTTATAAATATTTGAGTGCGATACACTTCAAGGCAACTTCGTGCCCCCGCGTTCAATCGATCACGAGCCCTGGAAATTTTCAGTTTGTAAATTTCACGGGAACGTTCACGCTTTAAAATTTGCTTTGTATGACTCACGTGTAACAACACATGACCAACCCTACAGCTCTTCGATTTCCTCCTGCTTGTAATGCTATAAGTTTTGAGTGTCTGTCTGTCAAGGTTTGTAATCTTGACGCAGAGTATATTTTATGGATTTTTCCTACCTGGATTTTGTCTTGAAGCAACGTTCCGGATTCTATGTCTCGAATGAAAGACAGCACAGAGCCCTTAACGTTATCATAAAAGAGCCAAAGTTGGAAAATTTCATGAAGCACAGGCCACATAGTTTTGTATTCGATTTTCAAAAACCAAAAAGTGACACTTAAACGACTAATTCGAGCGACAAAATAAGCTTACATTCAAATACATCTATTACCTTAAGGATATACTTTAAACTCATTTCAAGACCATAACATCCGGCTATGATTCACATGTGACGACAAAAAGCCTACGTAATATTTATAAGTAATCTTCAAAACCTTAGTAACACCATCGTTTAAGATATTCATGATGTCAGAAAAACACATAGGTTCAATTATTCTTGATACAAAATGATAAAAACCCTATAACCTGAGCGCTTTCGATAGGTGGACCTCTCTTCTTCAGGGGCGCAAGCTAAATTATGCTAAACATAGAGTCGTAGTATAATCTTTTTAGTAAAAACCGTCCTTAATTTCTACATTTATAAAACTGCCTAAAAAGAAAGGCCCACCTTTTGGAAGCGTTCGGGTTATACGGTTTGTATCATTTTGCATCGTTCAAAATAGTCATACAATTTATTTCTGTCAGCGAAACGTAAAAAGAAATAAATATAGTTAAAAATTGGTTCTGGTGTTTAAATCTGATCTGCACCTTTTGTGAAACGTATGTTAAACGGACAGGTAAGAAACCCTAAAGATCAAGTGCATGTCCTACCTTCTGGTGTTTAAATCTGATCTACACCTTTTGTGAAACGTATGTTAAACGGACAGGTAAGAAACCCTAAAGATCATGCATGTCCTACCTTCTGGTGTTTAAATCTGATCTACACCTTTTGTGAAACGTATGTTAAACGGACAGGTAAGAAACCCTAAAGATCAAGTACATCCTACCTTCTGGTGTTTAAATCTGATATGCACCTTTTGTTGAACGTATGTTAAACGGACAGGTATGAAACCCTAAAGATCATGCATGTCCTACTCGATTTAAAACTGCCGACTAGAAAGAAGACAACCATTCAGCAGTCTCCATCGTCTGCATGGTTATCCATAACCGTATAGCTGGATTCAATATCACAGTTGTAATACTCCCGCAGCTGAAAATACGGAACGTATTTAGCGTCTTATTTCGGCTTGAACCTCAGATCTCATACGTACCACAGTAAGTTAACCACGCTCGGCTAGAATTTCTGTTTATAATATATATTTTAATTTCCTACTGTTCGGAATTAATTCCAGTATCTACTAAACCATATTTATAATTGAATAGAGTTTAAATGTTTATGTTTTCCAAACTCTTCGCATATGACATATAAACCATAATATGATAACGAATTATCTCGTGATATGATATAATTGTTTATGTTTTCTATGTTTAATTTCTTTGTATTTCCGCTTCGTATCAAAAACGGGTGACAGATTACAAAAAGATTCAAATTAGAAAAAAAAACACAAATTACAGTAAGGTCAGTAAAGAGTGAGAGATAGACAAAACGTGTTACTCCTCACGAGTTGCTGATCGGTAGATAGTGAGATATACAATAATTATATTACTGTCCAAGAGTTTATGATTGATCGCTATGGAGAGAAATACACCAAAAGTATTTTACCATTAATGATTTATATTTGATAAGGAGAGAAACTGGAAAATTCATGTTAACATTAACAAGTCCGGTCAGCAAAAAGAAATTCTTTGTTACCATCCTGAAATAGCGGTGAAATAGGTGATTACGAAACAAAGCAATATAATTATATTGTGATAATTTATATTAGATATTTTAAGTGAAAAGCCGATAGGCGAAAAATTCAATTCCGGTTTCGATGTCAACTTTTACTTATCTGTTTTTCAGGTAAAATATTTAATATTAATTATTACAAACAACGTATGTAAACCAGAAAAAGGGCGGAAACAATTACTTGATAAAGGCGTCAAAAGAACTCATGAAAAATGGGCTGTTTAGTGTGAAAGATAAAAGACTAAAGACCTGAAAAGGACTACACAAGGTGTGATACTGGAAAACAAAATCCCAAAAAGGAGGATTAAAAAAGGAAATATGTACGCTAAACTAAACCCAAGTTAAAAGACGATTGATAATTAAAAATGGGATCGAAATAAATATAACGTAAAAGGAATAAAAATATTTTTATCTGACTATAGACCTGTGGATGAGGGGTTAAAATTATTTTTATCGCGACAAAAACGATGACAGGTCAGCGAACACGTCTGTTTTTTTGGCAGAAGTTCAAATCGAAAAATCACCTTCTTCATTTTGATCTATTTATATCTCACCTGCCTCCTTGTCTCTTATGGAGAAACGATCGTAATAGAAACTTAATGTCATTCAAGCTGGAGTACGACGTTGCCATGTCAACTATATGAGGTACAATGTCGAATGAATAAACTAAAAAAACATATTAATAAGTAAAAATATATCAAGGGATTATTAATAGAAACATTCAACGTCATTAATAGCTAACTCGTGGCTGTTCTTAGTTCTTAGCTCTGTTCTAGCCAGACACTCTATTAGTATGTGATTACATATGAAAAAGACTAGCTTGCTGGTTCGCCAGTTCTGATGAATGATAATTAAGTGAATTTAAGTAAAAAGTAATAATAAATAAATAAATAATCGGTGTTAAAAATCGGAAAGAAACAAATACTACTGCGTAATTAATATTTACAGTAATTTTGAGTTGTAAGTGACGTAAATAAAATGTAATATAATTACACTTCCCTTATTTAATCTAGTTCACACCTTTACAGTTGTTACTCATGCGACTGATGATATGAATGCTATTATATCCGTCGTATTCCAGCCGGCTTGATGAATCTTGGTGTTTGACGAAAGGCCTTGTTGGCACTGGATGTGACAGATATAGTGTGGTTGACGTATTTTTACATATTCCTCTTTCCCTTCACTCATGGGTTCTTAGAATAACATGGCTTATTAAGTTTCAAAAGTTTACAATCCTGATTGTAGTAGGTCAGTGATTTTAGAGCCAATAAATGTTACTTTACCAATAAAAGAAGCGTAGCGGTGTATAATTACCGTCTTCTCAGCACCATAGATTAGCATCAATAAAAGAAGCGTAGCGGTGTATAATTACCGTCTTCTCAGCACCATAGATTAGCATCAATAAAAGAAGCGTAGCGGTGTATAATTATCGTCTTCTCAGCACCACAGATTAGCATCAATAAAAGAAGCGTAGCGGTGTATAATTACCGTCTTCTCAGCACCATAGATTAGCATCAATAAAAGAAGCGTAGCGGTGTATAATTACCGTCTTCTCAGCACCACAGATTAGCATGCAAGCAGGAATTAACAAATATCCTGAAAATCGTTGTCTCTCAAAGACACACTACGATTACTCTGAACGTTGTTTACCTTGAACTTGTTTCTTTTGTCTTTTCTGGTTTTCACAAAGATTTGCTGTTATCATGAATATTAAAATGACTAAACACCAATATGTAATGGTATAAAATAGAAATTTCTGGAAAAAACAACCAAATTAAACGTGGCAGTAATTTATTTTTCAACCCCGCGCGTGAGAATAATTAGCTACGGTAATTATAATCGCGTTTAGAGACATTGACGGGAAGTTTTTGAGGGAAGACTGTAAAAAAGGTCGAAGAAGGTAAGATGAAAATATTCTTTTTCAGTGGGGGAATTTGGTTGTGTGGTGAAATTGAAGGCTACGTTTTACCTCTTATATCCACACTGGGAGATTGATGAGGTCATATGCTAACTTCACGATCAGAAACTGATTCATGTGGTTGCGGATAAGGGGAAGAAAAAATAACGTGAGAACGTGCGTTATGACTGATTTTTTTAATGCATCTCAGTACTTTTTACCCTATTTATTGAGATTTCCACAAACGTTTATCGCAATATTGCGTCAATTATATATTTTTATAGCTACACCGACTGCCATGAGTTAACGCATTAGCATATTTTCATAAAATCGACAAAAAAAGGTAGGAAAAGTAAACAATTAAAATGTTTATGCAATGACAATTTTTATGCAATTACGCATAGAATTGTTTATGATGTTCGTTTTTCTCCTACAGTTTTTTTATATATATTTCCCCCTGTCTATTTAAAAATATTTCAAAACGTTCTCGCCCCCCAATTGCATAGCAGTATGTCTGCGGACTTGTAACGCTAGAAATCGTGTTTCGATACCCATGGTGGGCAGAGCACAGATAGCCCTTTGCGTAGCTTTGTGCTTAACTTTAACCAAACAAACAACACTTTCTCATGTGTTACTATTAACACATTCTGGCTTCTTTACTCATTCGAAAGTTAAATATTTCTTTTAACTGACGAGAAAGGTTTGTTTCTTTGTTTTCAAGTTCAGATCTACAAGATGGGCTATCTGTGTTGTGCCCAGTACCAAAACCTGGTTCTTAGCGTTATAAACCTCCAGACTTACCGCTGAGCCACTGGCTTTATTCAGAGCTACAATCGAGGGAGTGACGTAGCAAGTAAATTAATTTCAGTAATGACATTTTCTACTGACCTCTGCCCATTGCATGAGAAATAAATATTAGTTCTCAATACATTCAGTAAAACACGATAAACGCTAGCTTTTTCGACAGGTAAACCCGTTTTCATCAGGAGCAATACATTTTCAGTAAAACCGGATAATCCCGAACTCTTTAATCAGGTGAAACTGCCTTAATAAGGACCAAAGATCAGACTAATAAAACTGGGTATATTCAATAGCACCATGGCTTATAAAAGTTTTCTGAATATGAACTACTAATTTTTTTTTACCTATATACGTGTGTGTTGTTTCTATCATGAACATACAACTCAGAGCAGGTGTGATGTGCGCTATGTAATTATAATACAGACAGTTGTCGTTGCCCAAATATAGGCCTAAAACATAAACCTAAAACTTGATGTTAACAAGCACACATCAATTTTTTTTAAATCCTGAATTTACATTTTATATGTACACGAGTTTTTCTACTCCTCATCATTTATAATTTGTCCATTTCTCACGATTCTTCTTTTTTCATTCTTTGATTTACCTAGCTTTTCATTTTCATAGTTGAACAATGATTTTTAAAATAAAAAAATTAATAATTAAGACCTTACTTTTATTTATATTGTTGTTTCTTTTTTAGTACCAGCAAACTCTGGTCAGTTTTGAAGATCAGACGATTGTTTTATAGATGGCGCCTCAATGTTTCGTGAAGACTGAGAAAGCGTTTTGAAACTTGTTTCTGTGTCGTGCATGTTTAAAAGTTGTTCATTGTATTCAGTAATAACTCTTAAGACAATGTTTACCTATAAATATAGCGGAGAAGATATGATTACCAGTCTTCTATAAATAATCAAAGTCGAATACAGGAAGTTCAATATATAAATATATATACATATATATATATGTACGAAAAATATTGTATATGTATATCAGTATTTAATACTCAATAATAAGGGAAAAATCTATAGCATTAAACAATTGGTATTTTATATTATCGTTTATTATTACCGCAGTTCGAACACTTGGCTTTTGATCCGTAATATAATTATAACAATGGCATTTTTGTCCGCCTTTACATCTTTCGAAAAGAAAAAAAAAAGTTTAAAATAAAATAACAGAAAAGGATTATTTATCTACGATAATTTTTTCACTATTTTAAGAGATTTTTTAAAAACTATTATCATAATGCATTATTATATTATCTTTCAAATATTTTTTTTTATAACGGTTAGTTTAAGTAGTCGGTTTTTATGATGAAAACTGGATACTTCTTTGCGGTATTGGTGGTTGAATGTATCCACACTTACCAGTTACAGTGTTGTTAGCGTCGAGCTGGGCCTGAATGATGTTCAGACTTGGAGTTATAATTGCTGGCAGTGTCTTGGCTCTTAGCAAAGGTGGTTTTTTCTTCTGGACGGGCTTCTTCTCGGTCACGTGACTGAGATAAATGAAAGAAAGCCATCATGAGAGACTTTACTTTTTGATTCATATTGTCTAGCAAAATCAGAAATAGAGAAAAATCAAGTATTTTTTTTTTCAGATCGTAAAAGTCTTAAGTGAGAAAACTGGTGAAAAAGTAAAACCTTCACGTTAGTTCTAACGTTGAACTACTTACTTCAATATATATAGATAGCTCAATGACTATCAATTATAATTATTGCTAATATGCGATTTAGGTCAGCACTGTTAAACAATAAAAAAGTTATAATCATTTAAAGCATATATTGTCACATCCAGTCAGTCATCCATAGTCATAAACAGATAAAGCTTGTGGTAATACTACCCAATTTCATCTATCAAGCGAAATCCAAAAAGTGGAAGTTAAACAAGTTAACCATCATGGAAAATTAAAACAAGGGTGAGAAGGTGAGTGCTTAAACCCAAAATGTCTCACCTCCTACTGTCTTTCCCTGTCTGCAGCCACAAGTAGGAAGGCAGTTACCCTTAAAGTTATATAAGATCTAAAAGTAGAAACAAAACCATCCAAAATTTCTACAGTATAGAACTCCGAACTACTACCCACACAAAGGTCTTAAAAAATAAAAAAATACATAAATAAGTAACTTACTTATAAATTGTCGAAAATAAGTACCTTTAAGGGTAACTGCCTTCACACATCTGGCTGCAGACAGCGAAAGGCAGTAGGAGGTGAGACATTTCGGGTTTAAGCACTCACCTTCTCACCCTTGTTTTGATTTTCCATGATGGTTAACTTGTTTAACTTCCGCTTTTTGAATTTTGCTTGATAGATGGGATATCCCCAACGCTTTTTGTGTGGTATTACCACAAGCTTTATCTGTTTATGACTATGGATGACTGACTGGATGCGACAGTATATGCTTTAAATGATTATAACTTATTTATAGTTTAACAGTGCTGATGTAAATCGCCTATTAGCAATAATTATAACTGATAGTCATTGAGCTATCTATCTATTTATTTCAAAATGCTGATTTTCTCTTTTTCTAATTATTATTTCTTCTTTACTGTATACTGTTTATTAGTCTGGCTAGCTATTTGTCAGTTTGTGAACTAGCCATTCATATTCAAGAAAAATTTACTTGCAACAGTTCTAGATGTTTAACTTGTCCGGCCGCCATGGAATTTTAAAATGTACGACAAGATATACCACTTTGTAAAATGGATAATGTTATTTATCTTTTAACTTGTGGTATATGCGGTATTAAATATGTAGGGCAAACATCTAATCCTTTACATCTTAGGATTAACTTACATAGATCACAAAGTAAAAAATGTTTTCCTCATACAATAGAAATAGATCATTTTAATAAACACTCGTTCAATAATGTAGGGGTCAAAGTAATAGTAAATGAATCAATTAGGAAAAGTTTGTAAAAATCTAGACACTGCTTTTTGATAAATCTGATAATTTAATAAAATTCATAACTAAACAGCCATTTGAATTAAAAATACGAAAATTAGATATTTTTTAAAGTATGTTTTGAATTTTTTTAAATGAGATTCATATAAAATATTTAATTATTGATCTACCAAAATTGAAATTAAAACGTAATCAAGATCTGAATAACCTTTCACAAACCAAAAAAAAAAAATTATATTTTGTAATAGATTTTAAACATAAAATTACTGTATCTTATTCATAAAAGTGTTCAAGAAAATAGTTTTGCTTTAAAATCATCATAACCTAGAGTCAGTTTTAAATATAATAAACCTATCGGACCTCTTCTTTTTAATTATAAAAAAAATCATTGAATAATTTAATCCTTTAGAAATAGATAATTTACCTTTTATTTGTAGTAACAATGAATTTAAGGACACTTTTTATAATCATATAGTAACAGGTAATTTAGAAGTAATAGAAAATAATGCATTAAAATAAAATTTTAAAAATAGTACTAAATTTCGAATTTTAAAAAAGACAAATAAATCTGAGATCTTAAAAAAAAGAAAATAATATTAATAATTATATTATTAAAATAAATAAAAACATATTTCCCACCGTGTTTCTTTTTTGAGTGGAAACTGTATAATATTAAATTATAATATAATATTAAATAAATATTAAATATAATATTAAAAGCATTAAAACTCAATTAAGAACCCAAATTTATCTAGATATAAAATAGACTTGTCATTTAATGTTTTTAAAAACAAAATAAAAAAGTTCAATATAATTATATCATTACACCTATTGATAAAACTGGATGTAATTTTGTCTTTATATGTAAAAATTATATGCTCAAATTTTAATTAATGAAATTAATACCTCAAGTACTTTTACAAAAACTGCTTTAAAGAAAGATACTATGATTACTAATATAAAGAAAGCAGTTAAAAATTGAAATATGTACACAAACTGCTATAATTTACCGTTTTTATATGCTATCCCTAAACTGCATAAGAATCCTGTAAAATTTTGATTTATTACCAATTCTTTAAATACTGTTACCAAATCCAATTTCATTGTACTTAACAAACTTTTAGTTATTTTGTTTAAAAATTAAAAAAAACAGTGTTATCAAAAAATTCAGAATTTTTTGGGGAATTATAAAAAATAATATTCCAATTATAGAATGTCTAAATAATTTAGATTCTTTAAAAACAGCCAATTAAGTCGCGACTTATGATTTTACTACATTATATACTACAATATATTTAAAAGACCTTGTTAGAGTATTTAATAACCTGTTTGATAATTTTATGGATGCAGAGATGGGTACTATAAAATATAACTTCACTAAGATTCAATGTAAAAACATACTGTACTTCTGTATTTATCAACTGATCTATAAACAAACGGCGGGTATTCCAATGGACGCTAATTTCTCTTCAAATGTGGCCAATTTGTGCCTGTTCTTTTATGAATATTCATTTTAAGAAAAAAGTTTAGATTTCAATTCATTTAACTATACATTCCGACAATTTTTAGTTTTGTGCTTGTTGTGTACAGTTCTGATTTCTAAGTGCTAAAACAACGCAGCTTAATCGATAAAATAAATAACATGATTCAGATATTTGTTTACAGATTCGAGACTTGTTTACAATAGAAGGATATGAAATTCATGTAAATAGTGTCACCTGAAATAATAGTTTGATTTTTTTTTCTCTTTCATTGTACTTGTGTGAGATCGTATAAGAAGACGTTTGTCACTGATGGAAATTGTCATGTATTCAGCTATGCAATTTATGGCATAACACGTATCTTGTATTCACACCAACCGTATTATTTCGCTCCAGTGTATAGACTCACATCATCGTCATAAGACTTGAGACAAAAGTTGTAGAGGCTGTTAGAAAAGCAACTGTATAATTCGATGGAGCTATCACCCCGAGTGTAGAGCACAACAGACATTTTTACAAGATGACTCAGGATTTAATCTCAGCTCCCCTTCCTAGGACATTGCCCCCCAGTGGCACAGCGGTATGTCTGCGGACTTAAAACTCTAGAATTCGGGTTTCGATACCCGTGGTGGGCAGAACACAGACAGCCCATTGAGTAGCTTTGTGCTTAATTACAAACAAACAAACAATCGTCCGAAATCGGAGATAGTAAAATCGATTTAAATAACTTTCTCTATGATCTTTTGGTTGTTGAATGTTCAGCTACAAATATAGACAATGTTATGAATATATCCATAGGTTAGAAGTAAAGCACTATATAAATGTTTTTATTTCCTC